CGTGACGTCATACCGACGTACGCTGATGCGCACTGCGCACAACTATATCTGTAAACAAGTGACGATCGCATTAGAACAGGTGGTAGGGTATCCTTAAATCTTAAAAACGAGGACGGGGAACTTACTTGCACATCCACCTCATTCTACTGTACGTGTTCATGCCGAGCAATGCAACACCTCTGTATCAGATAGTTATTTTAAAATTCTAGCTTCCGCATCCGGTGTTACTGATCTACGCATTTTAGAATCCCTATATATATTCAAACAGAAGCCTGGTCTAAATGCCGTTTTTAGCTCCGTTCCTCTTGAAATAGTAAATAGATAGGCCGTTTACTTGCATTAATTTCATGTCTTATTTATTTATTCTCTGTTTTAAAACCTATCAGTGCCTTTTACTTTACTAATTGATTGTATTTGTGTTTCTAGGACTGAACTTAATTTTGTGAACTGACGACGGAGCTGGACTTCGAAGCGTTTTCTCTTATAAAGATATGGTGAATATTTGTGATATTGTATTGTTTTTGCTTTTAAATTCCTGGTTATCTTGCGATTTAAGCAGCAAACAAGTGATTTTAAAAATGATTTTAAAGTTATACTAATATGTCACAACTTCCGGTAGCAGCACAGGAGTGTTGTACGTTAATATATTCAGTAATCAATGAGCATTAAAAAGAACAATACGTTAACAACACGTCACGAATAGTCAATACAACACGCGCTCATTTCTCACATCTCGAGATAAGCCAAGATAAGCCATCTCACTTAAGCCAAGATGCATTTCCTGCATTCGGTGAAGTATTCGTAAAAGCAATAAAACGAAGCGTTTAATGCGCCAATGGGCAATAATGATCAAAAGAAAGTTATATTCGGATGACGTGCGTTCAAATTGCGATTGTGGCTATAAAATCAGCTGCTCCACGGCGCTCTAGGCAGAAACGCTCGCATCTTCGCAATGGCTGGCATCAGAGAAATCCTCTCTACGAGCTTCGTGATCTTCTTGTTTGTAACCCAAGGTGAGACATTGAAGTTTTTGTTTCTTTCAAAAAGGTTTTAATGATACCCTGAAAAAATCAGAATTGTACAATCATGCGAGGAAAAGTTCTCGTAATACATGCAATACTTGAGAAGGCGACTGACACGGTCAAGCCTCGACGTCGACGGAAAGAACGTGATTTTACCAAAGTGTAAAGCTAAAATTCAGTTGTTGCTAAATTTGCTGTTTTTAATTTGAAACGTGTTCATAATTTCCTTTTAATTTATTGGTATCTATATATTTTTATTTTTCCCCAGGATACTGTGGAGATTGCCCCCCTGATTGCTGGGATGGAGGAGACTTGTATCCCAATCTTCAAGACTGCTCCAAGTTCTACCAGTGCGCCCATGGCACTCCTTATCTCATGAGCTGTCCTGCAGGCTTGCACTACTCACTTTCCTTGGAGAGATGCGACTACCCAGAAGAAGCCAACTGTACCGCTGACCCATCTTACGACTGCGGTGAAACGACTCCCACTACACGAGCCCCAGACAGTCAAACTTCTAGTGACCCAGCAGCGTCCGAAGCTCCANCACCGGAGCTGTCAATATCCCCCATGCTGCCTCAAACACGTCTCTTGGCGCCTGCAAGTCTTATTCCAAGTCTCTTGTCACCGGAGCTGTCAATATCCCCCATGCTGCCTCAAACACGTCTCTTGGCGCCTGCAAGTCTTATTCCAAGTCTCTTGTCACCGGAGCTGCCAATATCCCCCATGCTGCCTCAAACACGTCTCTTGGCGCCCGCAAGTCTTATTCCAAGTCTTCCGTCACCGGAGCTGTTAATATCCCCCTTGCTGCCTCCGACACGTCTCTTGGCGCCTGCAAGTCTTATTCCAAGTCTCTTGTCACCGGAGCTGCCAATATCCCCCTTGCTGCCTCCGACACGTCTATTGGCGCCCGTAAGTCTTATCCGAAAGTACATGGCGTTTGTTCTTTCGAAACCCGTGATGAAGATAAGCTTAAAAAGAACCAGCATGCCGACAAGAAAAAGAGAAAATTAAAGGACATCTTCATAGAGCTTTTTGGGGAAGACAGCGATGAGGAAGAAGGAAAATCGAAACGGCCCAGGAAAGATGCCCATGTCCTTCCAGCTGCCGCCCACACGTCTCTGGGGGCCTGGAAGGCCTGTTCTACTGTCAAAGCAAATGGTTCTTCCAAATTTCTTGATAAAGAAGTATTGAAAGAGAACGAACATACCAAAAAGAAAAAAAGGAATTTGAAGAACATCTTCAAGGAGCTTTTTGGGGAAGATAGTGACGAGGAAGAAATGTTCCAACGCCCCAGCAGGATGGATACCAATATTGCCATTTCTCACGGCACGTCCCTGGGTCCTTGCATGTCCCATTCTGCAGTCAAGACCGATCGTTCTTCTGACTCCACTGATGGAGAACTTAAAAAGATGCTGCATATGTCAGGCGATTTACTTCATACGCCACCACCCATGTCGTCAGTAGTATTTCTCACGTCTCCTCCTGTGAAGTCATTGTAGTAAGTCTCTATATAGGCTCTTCAAGCTTACCACCAGTCAGTCATAGGCCAACACCTCTTAGCTGCAGTTCATCGCAGTCTAACCTTAGACGCATCCACCACGTCTATCGGCCCCGGCACTCGCTTGTCCTACTCGCGCCAGTCGGGCGCCTTGGGCACAGAGGCGCCAAAGCTGCGTCAATGACTGCCTTTTGGCAATTTCTTACTGAACACCCCAACCGCAATTTACTATTTACATAATTATAAAGTTTCCAATCGGGATCGATTATAATCGTTCTTATAACTGAGATAATTTTGAGAATTAGTTATTCATACTCAAAACCATTAAATATTATTCCACTTGAGTTTTCATAACACTAGAATGGTTGTCATTCGCTCGCTTGTTATGTTTTGTGTCTAACACTTCGCTCGTTCTGGGCGTTGCCAACTATCCCATTAGTATTCCATACACGTAATGGTAGTTCTGCATTGTCTCTCTACTATTTTCTTCAATAGGCATAACTGCTTGTGTGATATCAGACCTAGAGGTTCCACCCGTTGGACTTTTCAAGAATTCGTTTTTGACTGTAAGGAGTGTGCTGGAGGCGTGTCTCGCGCTCGGCACTTGATGTACCTGAATTAATAATAAAAAATTCCTACCTTACCTTTGTCTTTACTTTTCATCATTTCACTCAAAATATGTTATTCTGTTTATTGTGACAGATTGGAAATTAACTCTAACGCCTATTGCAAGCAACTAAATTTAATCTGCGTCTTTTTCATAAAAATAATTAACAGGATGTCAGGAAAGATGGAGAGATTGCTTTGTGTCTTGGTCACTGATTAATGTTGTCTTCCTGAAATCTTGGTGCCTTCGCTATAAGCTTTGATTTATCAAAATGTCTTAAGTGATATTCAACTTGCTTTTCTCGTGCAAGCCGTGTAAGCTCTATGGATCGCTAGGCCTTGTTTTAAGCTATAAATTCGTTTTATGAAGCTTGTATACCTGTAGAATGAAAAAAGTGAGCGCCTACAAGTCATGCATTGAAGCTTTCGAGTTCACTTGTTATTCAAGTGGACTTGAATTTGAGTTGAGACTCTGCATGTGTCAAACGTTTTCCCTGTGCAGTTTTGAGCGAGATGGCACCGCCGCTCGCTCTGAGGCATCCTGTAGGCTCTGCACACTGCACTGGTTATGACTTCCACTCTCGCGCATGCTCAGAATTTTTTAGTCTAGGAACAATCGAATATTATGTCGCTATTTGATAACTCACTATTACTTTTAAAGGAGAATTTTCATGACATATCTGTTACAATTGAATGATATGATTTATTAGTGATGGTATATTCATGAGATCGGCGACTTGCTTCTCGGCGTAACGTCGCAAACAACTCGGCCAACAGCGCCAAGGCAAACGTTATTGGTTAATTATTCAAGAGTCACTTGTAATGCGTGTCTACGTTGCACCGTTCATTGATGAAGAAAATGCAACAATACTATAGATTATATGACTATGAATTCTTTTTAAAGCTTCTCTGATGATAATTAGACGAAAGCTCATAAGTAGGAGACTAGTGTCCATGTCAATGGTGCACCAATCAATTAGAATAGAAGTGTCGGCGTTGAAGAAATAGGCCCATGGCCTGTTGCCGATTCTTGAACTTTTCGTGACTTGATTCACAAGGGATCCGGCCTTTGGAACCCGATCTTTCCATAGCTGACGATTGATTGAGATAGCTGCTGGACTTATTGCCTGGTCCGTAATTTGCTAGGCATTTTATGACTGAACATATGCTCCTGCATAGCTTCGTCTAGCCTGTTTTTGAAGATGTTCATACTCGGAGCGTCAACGACGCTATCAGGGAGGCTGTTCCACATGTCGGTGACTCGAAGCGAGAAGAAATGTTGTCGCATGGATGTGTTCCAACGCTGTTTTTTTAGTTTATAGCCGTGGCCCCTGGTGTTGGTTCTTGTTTCAAATTCTAGTAATCCTTCTGGGACCATGTATAAGTCATGAGTATACTTGTATACTTCAATGAAGTCCCCACGCAGACGTCGATAACTGAGGCTTGGAAGCTTCATAATCTTTAATCTTTCCTCATAGGACTTGCCTTTCAAGCCCGGAACTATTCTTGTTGCTCTTGCCAAGGTGGATAACTTTGGATAATCTTGCCTGATCCGTAAGCTGCTAGGCATTTTATGACTGAACATATGCTCCTGCATAGCTTCTTCTAGTCGGTTCATGGAGCCGTTCATACTCGGAGCGTCAACGGTGCTCTCAGTGAGGCTGTTCCACATGTCGGTGACTCGAAGCGAAAAGAAGTGTTGTCGCATGGAGCTTAAAAGTTTATAGCCGTGGCCCTTAGCGTTAGTTCTTGTTTCAAATTCTGGGACCTTGTATAAACATTGGGTATACAGTATACTCGTATTCTTCAACGAGGTCACCACGCAGACGTCGATAACAGAGGCTTGGAGGCTTAATAATCTTTCTTCATAAAGCCTGCCTTTTAATCCTAGAATAATCCTTGTTGCACGTCTTTGAACACTCTCGATTAAATTTTTGTCCTTTTTTTCGGCGCACGGCATTTCCAAACTCTAGGTTCGGACGCACGACAGCGATAAACAAGTAAAACAACTGCTTCATCGTTTCTGCATCTAAGAACTCGAAAGAGCGTCTGATCAGTCCAAGTCGTTTATTGGCTTAATTAACTTGACCTTCAATATGCTTAGAAAACTTCAACTCATTGTCGATATTAACTCCTAAATCCTTCTCCGTTGTCGACTTCGACATCATCGCTCTGTCGTTGCAACCGTGTCTTCTCATACTGTAATCTTGCTGTTCATTATTCTTGCCAAGGTGGATAACTTTACATTTGTCAGCGTTAAAACGCAGCTGCCACTTATCAGCCCAGTCAACCAGCCTGCCAAGATCACTTTGCAACTGTACTTTTTGCGACGTATTCTTCACCATATTATAAATTTTTGTGTCGTCAGCATACATCGAGCAAACGCTAGACACAGCTGAGTCGTTTTCAATTAAGTTGAGTCGCTATGGTCGCAGTATTGTATAAAATTAAAGGTTATTTCTAGCTGGCAGCATGACAGTTAGTGTCGGACTCATACGTTGACTTCATCGACCGATGAAGTCAACAATGTTTTTAGCATGATCTTTCTTGTAATTGCCATGAATGTTTTCACCAAATAAGGTAAGCTTTTATAGAAGAGCACTGCTCCAGCCGCATGAAATGATACATTCTTTATTGACACCGTGCGCAACGGTCTTAGTATAGAATAGAAGTGTCGGCTTTGAAGAAATAGGTCCATGGCCTGTTGCTGATTCTTGAACTTTTTCGTGACTTGATTCACAAGGGATCCGGCCTTTGGAACCCGATCTTTCCATAGCTGACGATTGATTGAGATAGCTGCTGGTCTTATTACCTGGTCCGTAATTTGCTAGGCATTGTAAGACTGAACATTTGCTCCTGCATAGCTTCGTCTAGTCTGTTTTTGAAGATGTTCATAGCGATGAGTAAGTTAGGTGAGGTGGCTAGGTCGCTGCTGCTTGGGCGCACCAGACACAGTCTGTAACTTCTTATTTTTAGGTATCACGAGCGTCCAGACCCCCTGCTACCTGCCGACATTGAGACCAATAAAACGTTCGCTGACTTATGGAACTCTGCGCATGCATGGAATGAAGTTTATGAACTTAGCAGGACTATTGGAACGCTGCTGTTTTCCCAGTTGCTATGGCTGTTATTTCCTTATCGAATCTGTGAGGTAACTTGAATGGTTCTCATGAACACGGCTTATTAAAAATGTGCTCTGATTTTTTTCGAAAACATGTTCAACCATATTTTTTGTGGTTATTGCTCCCGTTTCCTCTTCTGAAATTGTTCATTTCAATCAATGTCACATTATGCCCAGTGTTCATTAGCAAAAATAACCTGAATTTCAATGTGTGAATTATTTTAAATATCAATATTTTATGCTGAATTTATCCAAAATCAGGAAAAGTGACGCTAATCGTGACTCTTGTCTACGTGTTACAGCAAAAATTAATCTACTACAGAATAGACGTTTAACATGCAGATGCAGTGACCCGTTCAATCAATACGAGCTTTGGAAATGTATGGCCGATTTTCTATTAATCTTGAAAACGCTGCCTTGTATCACGAAATAGGACTGTGCCTAGCACGCCAGACTGAATGCCATCAGTGGTTTGAGTGAATACCACTCCAAGCTTCAAATTTTTTTCCATGACTATGGCAGCAGGTTAGTTTTATTGAACACTGACAGTAGTCAACCGAAAGCGTTGGTGTGTCAGGTAATATTGGCCGATGAAACAAGGACTTGTCGTGGTACTCATTAGGGGTTAACTTTTTATTTCAATCAATACCGCTAAATCTGGCGAGTATTGTGCAGCACTCAAGTTGCGTAAAGGTAAATAGTTAAGCTATACAGTCATACGTACATGGTCTGCTTACACAACACTAGCTCAATTAAAAAAAATTCGAAAAGAAGAGTCAGAGATTTAATTTCACGAATCTGGGACATTTTAACTCGAGATATGAAATTTTTCTTAATATATTTCAATTAATTATATGATGGTCAATTTTTACGTATGAAGGTACATGTTAAGTCTTTTCTTCCAATCCCATAGATTTTTATGATAACCTTGCCACTTTTTACGTTTCTTGGCCACGACGGGCAACTTCTCGTAGTGTCCTCAGAAGCTCCGCTTCCTCGGTGTCGTCCAGGGCCTATGCTTTCAAAATTCGCTAAGTGAACGTAAGAAGTTTAAGAACACATGCTCTATTTTCTTGTCTATGATTGGTGGATTTAGCTTGAAAGGCCGTCAATGATTGGCTGATGAACTTACGATCTCTTAACTTTTTTTGAAAGTATAGGCTCAGTGCAGCAGCGGCAGCTTGTCGTATCAGGGACAATTGCACGCGGCCAACGTACAGTACCGAGCTTGCATGAATGCTGTCGTTTGAAGGGCTATTGTTTAACAAAGGATAATAATTTCAACGCACTGAAGCAGCTAATCTCCCATAAATCAATGAATTGCTTTACAAAAATCAATAGAAGATTATTATAATGACATCAGCAGCATTAAACGGATGAATCATCGGTACGTCGTAAGTAGAATGGCATTCTCTTTATGATGGACGTGTGCCAACAGTCACTGGCTAGCCTTCGCCTCCAACACTTCGCCTCATATGCCTCACCCGTCACACCCACAACCCACCCGCGTCACGCTATAGTGTGATGTGCGTCACACCCAACAACCCTACCGTGTCACGCTATAGTGTGATGTGCGTCAAACTCACAACCCTCCTGCGTCACGCTATAGTGTGATGTGCGTCACACCACAACCCTCCCGTGTCACGCTATAGTGTGATGTGCGTCACATCCACAACCCTCCCGTGTCACGCTATAGTGTGATGTGCGTCACACCCACAACTCTCCCATGGCACGCTATAGTGTGATGTGCGTCACACCCACAACCCTCCCATGGCACGCTATAGTGTGATGTGCGTCACACCCACAACTCTCCCATGGCACGCTATAGTGTGATGTGCGTCACACTCACAACCCTCCCGCCTCACGCTATAGTGTGATGTGCGTCACACTCACAACCCTCCTCACACCCAACAACCCTACCGTGTCACGCTATAGTGTGATGTGCGTCACACCCACAACCCTCACGCGTCACGCTATAGTGTGATGTGCGTCACACCAACCACTCTCCCGTGTCACGCTATAGTGTGATGTGCGTCACACCACAATTCTCCCGCGTCACGGCGACAACTGCGCAACATTTATAGAGTGTAATAAAAGGTGTGAAGAACGTCTTGAACAATTATTAGTACATTATTGTTCCTAACTGCTCGATGCGAGTAACGTTTTTTTCTCTCATGCTGTTGGCTGGGCATGCTTCAAGTTGCAACTTTCAATGTTATTACGATAGGCTCATCACGGGGCGATGATGGGTTCAGGTATTTGATTTTTAAATTTGTGCCAAGAAGTCACAACTTCCGGAAGCAGCACAGGAATGCTGTTGTACGTTAATATATTCATTAATCAACGAGCATTAAAAAGAACAATACGTTAACAAGACCTCATTAATAGTCAATACAACCCGCGCTCATTCGTCACATCTCGAGATAATAGTGCTTATCTCTTAAGCCAAGATGCATTTCCTGCATTCGGTGAAGTATTCGTAAAAGCAATAAAACGAAGCGTTTAATGCGCCAATGGGCAATAATGATCAAAAGAAAGTTATATTCGGATGACGTGCGTTCAAATTGCGATTGTGGCTATAAAATCAGCTGCTCCACGGCGCTCTAGGCAGAAACGCTCGCATCTTCGCAATGGCTGGCATCAGAGAAATCCTCTCTACGAGCTTCGTGATCTTCTTGTTTGTAACCCAAGGTGAGACATTGAAGTTTTTGTTTCTTTCAAAAAGGTTTTAATGATACCCTGAAAAAATCAGAATTGTACAATCATGCGAGGAAAAGTTCTCGTAATACATGCAATACTTGAGAAGGCGACTGACACGGTCAAGCCTCGACGTCGACGGAAAGAACGTGATTTTACCAAAGTGTAAAGCTAAAATTCAGTTGTTGCTAAATTTGCTGTTTTTAATTTGAAACGTGTTCATAATTTCCTTTTAATTTATTGGTATCTATATATTTTTATTTTTCCCCAGGATACTGTGGAGATTGCCCCCCTGATTGCTGGGATGGAGGAGACTTGTATCCCAATCTTCAAGACTGCTCCAAGTTCTACCAGTGCGCCCATGGCACTCCTTATCTCATGAGCTGTCCTGCAGGCTTGCACTACTCACTTTCCTTGGAGAGATGCGACTACCCAGAAGAAGCCAACTGTACCGCTGACCCATCTTACGACTGCGGTGAAACGACTCCCACTACACGAGCCCCAGACAGTCAAACTTCTAGTGACCCAGCAGCGTCCGAAGCTCCAGTAATACCATTGGATGACCAATTATTAGACTCAGGTGACTGCATTCCTCCGTGTCCGTCACCAGAGGCGCTGTACCCCCACCCCCACGACTGTACCAAGTACTTCCATTGCGCTAACAGTGTTCCTTATCTGAAATCATGTCCCCATGGTCAAGAATATTGGGGTGACATGGAACGATGTGACTGGCCTGAGTACGCTCAATGTGTGGCCAGCCCTGAGGCTCCATGTGATGCCATTACTGCTCCGCCCAGGCCCACAGTCTCCAGCTGCAAGCCCAGCTGCCCTTGGCCTTACGCCTACATGCCCCACCCCCAGGACTGTACCAAGTTCTACGTTTGCGATGGACAATCCAACGCCTTCGAGTCTTCATGTCAAGCTGGGCTGTTCTACAGCATGGACACATTGCGCTGTGACTACCCGGAGGTTGCCCTCTGCACCGCTGGACCTCAGCATGGGTGTGATGAGCTCTTGACGCCATAGTCGTGCGCACACCATGGAATTTCGATTGTGTTCCTTACATGAATTAATTTACTAAATGTAATAGTACTGAAAATTTTTATTTGTTAGCTGAATTAATTTCGAGTTGTCCCATTCGGAATTAAAAAGTTTCATAAGCTCTTTATTTCTCTTGATTAAACATCCTGACTTAAGTATGGTCTGTAATAATAATTAAGAGCAAAGAATAGAATGAACTCATAAATGCAAATATAGTCACTACTTGTGACACGCAACCTCTAGCTGCTAAAGCAAACTCTATACTATATACAGAGTGATTCACGGAAACTTCCTGATTTTAAAACTCGATAAAAAAGAACTAGTAGAGATATCATTTCAAGATAAATTTTATCGAAAAAGACGTTATCTGAATTCTGAATTTTTGTATCACTTAGTTTTAAAGATGACATGGGACAAATGACGGCCCCCATTGTCAATGCATTCAATTAGTCGATTTTTCAAGTTCCGTTTAACTCGCTGGAGCATATTGACAGGTATGTTGGCGATGGCTTGGTGTATTTTGTTCTTCAAATGAGGTAGGGTCATTGGACAGTGAATGTAAACAATTGATTTAAGAAAACTTCGTGAAAAAATTAAATTATACGGAGCTGAACCGAGGTAATCGGTCCGGCCAAAGAAGGTCGCCTCTCAAGTAGAAGAGGCGCTCTGCCAAATGTTTCAGAAGATCTATTGAACATCGTGCTGTGTCGGCCGTGGTCCATCCTATTGGAACCAGACATTCCTGACATTCATTTCAGCCAGTACTGGCAAAAAAATATAACTCAGTAGCCTACTCACTGCAGTGAGTGACAGAGAGCGTATTTTCTCGTCGACAAAAACGTGAAGTCACGGACAGAGAGACGGACATGACGAGCACAATAGGACCTTTTTTTCTATAGATGAGAAAATGCGCTAAAAGCGTCAATTATTTGCGTGTACCGAGTTGCAGTCACCGTTACTGTGTGTTCGTTTTCCTCGAATAAATAAGGTTAAATGCCGTTGTATGACACCGCACACCACATAGGCTACGCGTTCGCAATGAAGTGGCCGCTGATGGAGTTCACGCGGATTGTTTTCACTACAATAACGCGTGTCTCGCTTGATTACGCTGCCGGAAATATGGAAGTGAACCTCATCACTAAAGAAAACAACTGCAACCGAGTGGCAAGGCTTCAAAAGCAAGGGTCGCATGCATTTCTGTGAGCAATAAATTTCGGCCATTAGAAACGTGCGCTTCGACAGCAAACGCACGCTGCTCACTTGTCCGATGCAAAGTAGCAACGGACAAGGCGGGACACACAATTTTTTACTTGCATTTCATATGAAATACTTCACGCCATTTTCCTACAACATCTGTCTTCTTGGCGCGAAATACGAAACAGGAAGTTTCCGTGAATCTCCCTGTAGTTTGTTCCTGCCTCAGACAACTTCTTATCGCAGTGCCCTTCAATCTGAATCATTAGGACAATGTAGAAAACCGGCCACGAAACTAAACATTTCTGCGAAACAGTTCGAAAACGAAAGAAACGAACAGTTTCTGCAAAAACAACGACTTGATTGCTAACACCCTCATAATATACATTAAGAAGTGCTGCTTCAATCATCTCATCAGTTTGAAAGGCTCCCCATTTGAGTGCTGTTTATTGCTCAAAGCCATTTTATTGAGCAATTATTAGCCATTATTTGAGAGAAAACGGCATTCAGGTCACTAAACTTAGATATATATTAGTCTTATAAACGGCAATATGCATGTTTACACTCTAGAATTGAGATCATTTAAAATCATCAGTAATCAACCGTGTTAGACTCATTTGTGTAGACTGTAGGTAAATTAAATGTAGAATATAGTTTGTTTGAGAAGTACGATGTCAAGTAATTTACTTAATTTCGACCTGGATCAATGTTATTTACGCCCAACACTTTCATACCCCGTTTCTAATGATTATATGATTAATGATATTTAGTCCATAAACTGCCAGTTTTAGTTCTCCGCTAAGGCGTTTACTAATTAGGAAGGTAGATATTACAGAAATTAGGGTCATTTATCATTCAATTCGTCATGCATCGTGAAGGATTGTGTTTCACCAAGAAAATATATCATAAGGAAAGAGTATTCTAGTGCATCATGCATCGAGAAGGATTGTGTATCATGAATGACACGTACCACGAAGAATCGTGGATAATGTTGAACGAGGTATCTCGAGGTATCACTCACCCTAAAGCCCCTTTCACACAGGGCAGTAAATACTGCCAGCGTCCAACAGTATTTACTGCCGAACCTTAGCGGACATACGAAATGTGCACTGCTGTTCACACACGACTGCTTTTACTGCGGCGTAGAATTTGACGCCTGACGCCAGCGTGTGTCGCGCTAAAACTGCGGCGATAGATTTGCCGCGACAGTTTAGCTTGCAATGGTATTCAATGTAATCTTTCACACTGGGTGGTTTTTGACGCCACATCCTAGCAGACAGTGGGGCCGTATTTTAGGTGCATAATAAACAGCACTACAAGACTGATATTGTTACATAAATATCAGTACATAAATATTGTTACATAAACATAAAGATATACATTGATAAATATATATTTCCTTAAAGTGGTAGAGATATATTTCATAAAAGATGTATTTTCCATAAAATATATAGGTATTTCCATAAAGATGTATTTACATTATTCTCACATAGAATATTCATATATTTATATATTTCCATATAGAAATATTGTTACATAAACATAGAGATGGACTGATGAAGCATAAAGCACTGCAAGACTGATAGATCCCAGCAGTAAAAAGCGCCTCGTGTGAAAGATTGCGCTGTAAATACTGCCGCGGCATTTTTGACGCGCGCAGTATCTACTGCCCTGTGTGAAAGGGGGCTTATATCAGCTTTCAGTCAGCGGCAAAATTTAGAACTGAACAAAATTCTGTAACATGTGGATAATGTCGCAAGAAAGTCGTGTTTCACTCGTTTCTTTCATATCACGATTGCATGAACATTTGGCTATACGTACAGTTTTTCGAATGAAACCTAAAAACGAACGATCTATTATTCAGCATAAAAATTTCAGTTAATCCTCCTGATTAGAGTCCATGATGCTCCTGTTATGTTCTTGTTACGAGTCGCAGAAATAAATACATTCTTTTAATGGAATTTGTTAGGAGTAATTAAAAATAGTGTCCATTTTATACAACTGTTCATTAACTAGATGAATTTATTAGGTAAAAACAAATTTTCATCTAATATAGTGAGCTTTCGCAATTGGTTATTTGTGTCAATTATTTATACTCGCATATTTATAGCCTCATTATTAGCAAACTTTTTCATCATTAGTTCAGCCGCCATCGGGTGTTGCGTGATGAGGGCGTGAAGTGAACTGTCGAGCTCCTGATGGTAGAATGCAGGGCGTAGGAGGAAGAAATATGCGTTGTGATGAAGGTGATTCTGAACGAGGGAGATGCATGAGTAATGACGTGTGGTATGAAAGAAGCAGAGGTGGACAAAGTATGGGAGTTATGTTAAGAATAAAACTTTATTGAATAACGATAGAAAATGAAGAAATGTCATTTTAACACTTTATTCATAGCGCATTTTTTCCTTTATTGAAAAAAGGCGCTATTGTGCTCGCGATGTCCGTCTGTCTGTCAGTCCGTCCATGACTTCACGTTTTTGTCGACGAGAGTACTGAGTTATATTTTTTACTTAACAAGCCACTTTTTACGATTATTTTTTAGCCGCTAATAACGTAACCTGAAGTATTTCATCTCTATCTAGAAGTATGAAATACCTGGTGTACCTAGTAATAAAAGGTGTGACGTTTTGAATATGTAACTATATGCCGTGTTTTTGAGCGCTTCGAAAATCTAACCTGAGTCCGTTGCGCACTTCAGTACTAATCGTGGCTCCTAAACTTTACTTGTCTTACTTTTTCTGATGCTAGTCGTAAAATAAATGCACACCTCTGCAGGCTTTTTTAGGGTCGCGCATATTATTGGCCCACATTTCATGAACAAAGTGCATCAAATATTTTACAAGGGTCCGACGTTTGATCCTTCTGTGTATTTCAGGCTTCGAGCTAATTACACTTCTATTTCGCCACCTCTCTTTCACTTTTCCGGCCAGCCTCTAATGTTCAATGAACTTAGAATATCTCCCAAAACAATTAACGCAGCTCGACAAAACTTCACACACGTGTTCGTCAAGATCTAACGGCGATGTTTAGGTTTTGATAATTTTATTCTATTTCACCTCCAGCGCATAAGTTTATGTATTGGGTTCCGCGTATGGCAATGGCGGCGCGTGCCTTATACTGTAAGTTAGAAACGAACATGAGATCTAAAAATTATTACGACCTAAACATGAACGTTAGGTCCTACTGAACGCATGTGCAAAGTTTCATTTAGCTGCGTTCATTACTCTGGGAGATGTTTTGAGCTCACGGCAAATTTGAAAATCGGCTGCAAAATCGACCGCAGAAATGCCGGCGGATACATCACCATTAACCATCTAAAGATCACCGTTATGGCCCAATAAATGCGTGTGCTAAGTTTCAACGAGCTGCAGAAAAATTTACCTTCAGATTTAAAATTTGACTAGTGAGAAAACTGCCCGTAGAGTGTTAAATCATACATGATTTAATATAATTAAATAATTATCAGTATTAAATCACTATTAAATAATATTAATCAGTTATATTATATTATTATTTTATTATTATATTATGATATTATGATTATTATATTATAATCAATAATATTAATCATTAATCAATATTAAATCATACATGATTTAATACTTATTTAATAAAATTTATATTATATTTACTTAAAATACCTGCACATGCGGACACAATCGTTATCAAACAGCGCGATTTCAAAAAATTAGGCCGCGGAGCCTGTTTTCAGCCGAGTCGACGTGGTAGACCCTGGTTGGCTGTGGTGTGAAGAGGTTATCGTAAGTAACGCTCTCGAAACTCTAATAAGCTTTAGGCCATTATTTCATTTATTTTAGGAAGATGGGACAGGGTGGGAGTAGACTTAGAAAAAAAAACAAGAACTTCTAGCCTTTCATCTGGGACGTCTGACTCTGACCTAGGGGCGGAGATTGAAACTCCCGTTTCAGA